ATCGTGATTTGGATGAAAGTTTACAGAGCAAATTAACTCTCCATACAGCAGTGTGGTAGTTAAATTTGTATGTCAACTTGGCTGGGCCTGGTTGAGTATCTGGGCAGTTGGTGGTAGTTATTCCCCATGAAGAGACAGGCAATCGACTCCATGGTGGAATCTACCACAAGCGGCTGAATAGCTGCCTTGGGATGTGGTCTGCTTCCTGTATATAAGGAGAAGCCTTGGGGCTAGTCTCTAGCTTATGGTATGTTTGGATCCCGCATGTAGCCATGTTGTTGTTCAGCAGCCTGCCATGCTCTGCCAACCTTGGGACTTACAATGGACTTGAGTTAATGGTGTGGTTTGGTAACATCAGGACTGTGCCATTTTATTTGTCGACCTTGGGCTCGTTAGCCTCAGTAGCCAGTAGCTGCCTGAGTAAAGAGATGCCTCTAGCTTCAGCAGGCCGGGAGCAAGAGGTAGAGCTTACGCCCAAGGTCAAGGGGCTTTCACACAGCCCCTAGGGCCTGGCAATTTGAACTTGGACTTAAAGCCTCCAAACTGTAAGAGAATAAACTCCTGTTTATTCAGCCATCCATCCCATTTGTGGTATATTCTTGTCAGAGTGGTATTAGGTAACCAGAACAAGCAGTTCACATACACTGTCTCGTGACATCGACTACAATTTACCACAATGCAACAGCTCCCCTCCCACTTCCTCCTGATAGTTACCTCTTCCCTGTGTCCATCCCTCCATGCATTCCTGGCCCCTGAGCTGTCTCCCTGTGCATAAGCAGCCCTTCTTTCTCCCCTGATTGATCTCTCCAAGGAGTGTATCTACCTTAGGTAAATGTTCAGCTCATATGCTTGTCTTTTGTTTGGCTGGAAGCCACAGGTGTAGGTTCAATTCCAGACCTGAAGGTCAGCTAGGGGCCATAGTCTCAGTGGCTCTATGGGACCAGCAAACCTGATCCCTCCCCCTTTTTATTTTTCCAAATGATTTTGAGCTTTGTTCCACATTCTTTTCCCTCTCTATCCAGGATCTCCTACATAGGTCCCCCTCTAAGTGGCTGACAGTGGTACCAGGCACCATCTAGTTCTTCTGGTCTCATAGTTGTACAGGCTACAGGTTGCATGGTGTACCAGTTGCTAGGACTAATTGTTTCCATGCATCTTTGGTTTTCTTCATTCTTTGATCTGGACAAGGAGAGACTCATTGCTGCATCCAGATGGTTGCTTGCAAGCTTTTAAGATCCCAGTCGCTACTCGCCAAAGTAGGAAGTGGAACAATGTTTTGTGTAGTATGTTATGCCAATTGAGCTTGATGTCCCCTGTGACTATGGTCTCGAGCCCACAGGTTCAACTACTCGCTCCCTCTGGGTAGCTGGCGTGACCAAGAAGTGATGACAACCTTGGCCCTTGTCAGCTTTACTATACCCTTGGTAATTCTCACAAAACATACAAATACACTTGTAGGACCATTGTCTGCCAACCCTATACATGGTCTTGGGTACATTTCCTGCTGCATAGACATACCTAATAGTTCAGCCTGTCTACCCATCTATCCACCCGTATACCCGTGTTTGCCTTCACTGACAACCCAGTCCTATATGTGCTAAAGTGTTCATCTGTTGTCTGCACCTCCCATGTACCTCTCTCTGTCTTCCTCTTCCTCAGTGCCACCATGTTGATCACTCACATTTGGTACGTTGCCCTTCTCTTCACCCAAATCAATACTTATCTCTCCCTATCTAACAGTGTCCCCTCCCCTCCCACCCCTGGTAACCAACAAAGAAAATTTATTTCCATATATAAACCTTTCTTTGACTTTTACAATAACGGACTAATACAATATTTGTCCTTCTGTGATTGACTTATTTCACTCAGCAGAATGTCCTCCAAGTTCATCCACGTTATGTGGTGTTTTGCAGATTCTATGTTATTCTTTAGGGTTGCAGAGTATTCCATTGTGTGTATGTACCGTAGTTTGGTTATCCATTCCTCAGCTGATGGACACCTAGGTTGTTTCCATCTTTTGGCTATTGTAAATAGTGTTTCAATGAACCTGGGTGTGCATATGTTTGTTCTTGTCATGGCCCTCACTTCTTTAGGATATATA